TGAAGAGAAATTCACAACACATCCTTTATCTCTCTTGATCATGCCGGGAAGGACGAGTTCCAACATCTGCAAGCAATTAGGATTCGGGAAAGAGGGGCGATGAAGAAGAGAGCAAAGAGCTTCATAAGTCACTACCTTAATATTAGACATTAGATTAACCCGAAAGATCTTCGATGCGGTTCCTTCTGGTAACTCCATGAAGTTCGCCACTTGAGTTGGAGCGATTCCAGCGCAGTTAACTTAAAATGATAGTTATGAGGAGAAGAGGTAAAAAAATGTGAAGATAGAAGAACTAACTCAGGATACCAATATCCATCTCCTTTAATTCCTGAGGTAGCTTGTCGTAACTATCATGTTCAAAATCAAATACGGCAGTTTTGCATTCCGCACCATATCGCTCACCTAGAAATTTTGTAACATATTGCGGCAGCCTGCGTTTTTAGCTGTCTCCTATTTTGAAGCCAACGGCAACACTGATTGTTAAATGAAGATGATCGCGCAAAATCCTAGCTATTTGACACACTGAGTTTGTATATTGTAACTATTTTTACAATAGCCTCTATCGTTTTTTGAATAGGTATACTGTATGCAACAAAATCCTTAGAAAAATAGAACTGTAAGGTGGCATAGTGCGAAATGCAACAAAATTACACAACGGTTCTACCATTTCTCTAGTGCCTAGATATTCGTAGGTGTTCCTTTGAAAAAGATTCTACAAGAAGAGATTGGCATGATAGATAATGTGGGCATACGGTACCTGACGTCTTTTTTACTTCTAAGCAGTTTTTGTGATACCTAAGAAATCCTCTTTATGGTAAAACCAGCGCATCAATCCCCTTGCATTAGTTTTAAATTTGTTACCTGCGCGCCAACACCAACGGTAATTGCTGTATCCTTTTGCAAGGACATGGGTAAACTACTATGTTATTTGGCATCAGCGCATCAGAATACCTCACTTTAGTCAAGCTTAGACAATCAAGCATAGAGTTGTGGAAAAGAGGGCGTGCGGCAGCATGTGCCGCACGTAATCCACGTACTCAAAAAAAAAACTCCTTTGCCAAAAGTTGGGTCTTCTAGTTCCTCAATTACAGTAAGGTATTGTTAACTTTGTGTAAACCTTAAAAAATGAGAAAAGTAGACAGCTCATATGTAGCAATAAGAGGGATTAGAGTACTTCGCAATAAAAGCTTATGTTAGTTGCAAAATATTCCAAAAATTGCCGTTATTCCTGGTAGTTCGCCGAAAGTTCTCATTACTCCGGTCAATACTCGAGCTGAATCCAGTAATTTTGGCTATGCTTAGCAGGGATCAACTTTGCTATAATCGTACTACTTAACAGCATCAAAGTGGAATAAGTAAAATGTCCCAATTTCAAGAAACATTAACAATTATTTCCTCTTATCTGGAAAGTAAGAGATCAGAAGTAGCCAGAAGTCATCATAAGGTTCAAAAACTTTAAAGATTGTCATGGCCAACTGCAGCATTTTGGAAAACCTATCGTAGCTACAATTAGAGCATTCTGGATGCGTAATGACGTAAACATATGAGTATCTGCTGAGAACGGGATAAGCCACACTCCAACGCTATTATTTGCTATGGTGAACTTATACGTGGGTTTTTACATATTTTCAAATGCTTGACTTCGAACTTCCATTTTCCATCACGACATCTGTAAAGAGAAACCCGAATCCAAGGCTACGTTATTCTGCGTCCTTTAATCCAATTTAGAACTACGGACGATATGCTCGAAGTTGATAACGCGCTACATGTATTTATGGTTGAGCATCATAAACTAGAATTGTTTCTTCAAACTAAGAGTTTAGGAGAAAATAGAATATAAAATTAGGAGTCTGTCAAAATACAATCATTTCATCATTTTGGACAGAGATATTGGCAGAAAATCATTCTCAAACCCTTAATGTTTGCCTCGTTCCAATTGCTAATCACTCACGGAAATCTTTGACCACTCCATCAAGTTTTTGCCGGTTTCTACCGACAAGGTAGAACTTTCTTAATCCACGAGTTTTTGCTAACTCTTCAATATAAGCTCGGCCAATGCCATCTGTGCCTCCGGTAACAACTAGAAACGTACATCTTGAAAGTTTTTGAGGACACTATTGAAAATTATCCTCACCTGTCCAGGAGTCCTTCAGATGGTCTATGTTGTAGATTGGGGTCACAAAGTGGACAATAAAGCTTTTTGTTAGAATAAACAGACATTTTAGTAATCGAACTATAAGGTAAGACGTGACAGCCCACCATAAATACATCCGCACAATGTCTAACATTGTGGTTATAAGTGAAACTGAAAATGATTGCATGAGTGGAAGGCGTGAAAACAGAAATTTAGGTGCGCGCAGTTCTCGGCAAAAAGGAAATGTGGCAACAGCAAAGTGCATATCGACAATGGTTTTGCTTCTGATGATTAATTAAGGCGAAAATAAGTAGAAATCGGGAAAAGGATTGAAATAACACTGGGATTATGATCAAAAGAAGAAAAAATAATGAGTTCCCATGAAATGAGATTGTGAAGATGAAACTGTATAGGTCAAGGGTATGGGTGTCACATGAAAATCCTTGAAAAGGCTACCTATAGTTGCGGCCCGTAAAGGTTACGCCGTCGCACGAAACATTTTCAAAACTGAGCGTCCTACTTTCTACCAGAGTTCGCAATTCCCGACCCCTAGATCATGTACACTTCCGGTTGAAACGAAAAATCCCAAAAATAACCCATATTTAAAGTGATTTTAAAAAGGACTGATTATGTAGGACTGCAAATGTCGGTAAATAGCATTCTGAAGGCTAAATTTTTCACAATACGCAACTATGAGCAGCATCTGTCAGAAAAGCGGCCATTGAACAATGGAACAACGCAATAATATTTACCCTAGTAACCGAGTTGTGTCAAAGGAGTCGCAACTGCTACTGAGAAGGGTCCGTCGATTTTATCGCGTGGTACATCGATTGACCTTGAGGGGGATGGTGGCACTCTTATTAAGATCATTGGCAATTCACGAGTATGAGATCTTCAAACCATCTTATTCCCCTTAGACAAGTTTTTTGCTGTTTAGTCGGCATGAATGCCCAACATTCTCTAAGTTGTAAAAAACTCATTCTCTTCTTTTTCTTTGATGATCGTGGATAATTTAACCCTATTAAAATTTCATAGGAAACTAAAACTGTTTCGTTAAAGAGGGGAAAAGTCAGCGGAACAAAAAATATGGTTTTGAAGAAACTGGGGTTTCCCATAGACACCCTATCAATCAAGGTCGTTAAAAACAGGACGGTTATCCAGAGATCATCTCTTGCGTCATGATTACGTCCAAGAGTAGCCAAAATTGATCAAAAGGGGAAAGAGTAAGCGTTAAAAAGTAAATTGCTCTTTTCATCCCGTGAAGTTGAACGGTTTATGTGAAAATACACGCCATATGTGTGCCCACATCGTGCAAATTGTGCCTTTTAGGTGTAGAAAGCTATCTTGTTTGTTGCAGGGATCCATATTGAAAAGCATCTTTTTCCATGCGTTTATCCTATTGATTCAGATGAGGCCAACAAAGTACTTCACCAAATGTATTTCACTGCTAACATTCATGCCTGACTTTACAATTTCTTAGCAGCAATTTGTTTACGCGGTAACTAAGATTGTGTTTTCCACCTTTTCGTCCGTTAAATGTTTGAAGAGCTGAAACTGCACTTTGATCTTTTACGTACGAAAGATCCACATACATATATCAAAGGTTAATTAGTTAATATACAAGTTTATATCAAATAATAGTAAATCCATTTAACTAGTTTGTGGAAGTTAGGTGTAGAATAACATTGAACTACATGACTTGAAAAATGAAACTATAGATTCTCGAACTGAACAATTAAAGCTAAGGAATATGCGAACAA